AATTTTGATATATTTAATTGTGTCCACCCTCAATTTTTTTTACAATAAATATATATTTTTTAAAATAAAATTTTGATATATTTAATCGTGTTCACCTTATTATTGTATTATTGTGATATCGATTCAGATAGACGACTACTTAAATAATATTAATTTTTAAATAATGTTATTGGAACTAATACATTATGATATTAAATCTAATAGTGAGTCCCTACATTTAATAATGTCTACTATCCATCAAATGGTCACAAATCATTGGGTTCCTAGCAATTAAATTTTTAAAATTTTTTTTGTCAAGATATAAAATTAAATTTTGAATTAGATGCAATTACTATTATTCTTAAATTTTTAAACATAGACATGTCCGAATAATTTTTAGACATATCACGTTCATTTTTCTAAATTATAGGATTATTTTATTATTGTGTAGAAATGAGTGTCATAATGTAATAAATTAAAGGGTAATAAATGAAAGACTGTTATTACCATTTTGTATATAAAAAAAAAGTATTTATTGATAGCATTGATTTGTAATTCTTTTAAATGATAAAAATAATCAGATTTATTTGTAAAATGATAGTAATTAGTCTCATACAAAGTTTTAACTAATTTACTTTTATTTTTTATTTGTTCATTTCATGCAAATCATTTGTTAACCTTTTATGTTTAATGAATTTTTACGCATAATTATAGTAAATATGAATTTATGAACTTTTATGGTCAGTTGAAAAAAAAATAAAAATTGCTATTTATATCTAATTTGATGACATAATTCAATGCACTCCTTTGATTGAAAGTAGACTTCATCTAACATTGAAATTTATAACTAAAATAACAGTTACATTGAATTAAGTCATTGGTAAACTTGATAAAAAAATAATTAAAATTTATTAATATGTCCATCATAAAAAAAAATTTTGGCTCCGCCCTTAGTGGGATTTTATTTTTGTGTGGAATGTGTTGTGAGCCATTGGATTAAGTTTGATGAATTTAGATGAAATTTAGATAATTTAATTTAAAATGAATTCAATCTGAATTGTTATTGTGTTTTTCCAAGTTTAAGATAGAGACATCTGAGAGATATGAGTGTAGAATCTTATGATAAGAGGTTTTTTCATGGGCGGGAAAAGAAATTCAGGGCTGTTAGATGAAAATTTTTTANTCTGAGAGATATGAGTGTAGAATCTTATGATAAGAGGTTTTTTCATGGGCGGGAAAAGAAATTCAGGGCTGTTAGATGAAAATTTTTTAGATGAGCTAAACTGTTTTTTTTGTTAAGATTACGTTGTTTGTTGGATGTGTTTATGTTTTGTCTCAAAACGATTTAAATCTCTCTTTGTCTTTTGGATTCAAATTTCGTACTACTTTATATATATATATATATATTCCACTTAAACGAGAAATAACATTCAAATACAAAAAATAATACCACTTAAACTAGAGATGTCAATGGACCAAAGCGGCGGTGGGGGGGGTATAGTCTCCATCTCTGTACTCGGTTATAAAACCTTCGTCCATCCGCCGTCCATCTCTGTTAACGGGTATAACTTTCATCTCCATCCTCGTCCGCGGGTAAATTGGGTCCGACCCACCCAAGCCCAAGCCCAAGTTTAAGCCAATATAATCCAAAATTTTTTATAAATCTAACATTTTAAATAATTCAACAACATTTTAAATAATCTAACATAATCTAACCCAACATAATATAGCATAATATATTCCAACGTAACACAAACAACAAATGTCCAAAATACTACTTGAATTTGAAGTTGACTGCTTTCACCCGGTATTGCAGAAGTTGCAGGAGTTGACATATTATTTATCACTTCTTCTCCTTTCATTGCTAGAAACAATAACCTGATCATGTGCTATGTTACACTCAAGAAACAACATGATAAATGTTGGACTGGATGAGTACCTTTCATGATAAGGACAAGGACATTTTAACATATAGTTTATCCAGTGAGATTTAACACGATCCAATAAGGTTATTATTTTCCAAAAATTGGTTACAAAAGTTTTAAATATGATGTAAAACAAAGTATCCATCATGACTAGTAAACAAAGTACTCAACATAAAGGTTCTGTAATGAGGGGAAAAACCCAATTTATTCAGCCTGTGGTTTGTTATCCATTGTTTGCTACGGTTTCTTTACCTCTCATGGCTTTTACTAATAACACATTTGAAATATCAAAGCTTCAAGTCAGATGGAAAATTGTTGTGTATGCTCTTTCCCAAAGGATATGTGGAAAGAAAATGAGCTTACAAGGTTAATATCTGTCATTGACAGACATAGTTATATTCATACAATCTCATTATAGCATTCCCTCTTTACTAGTCATTTTCTACAACAATATTCCTTCCCCATACACCCCTCAACCACTAAAAAACAATGTGTTTGAATACGATTTATATAAATATATATATATATATATATATATATATATATATATATGTATATATATATACTCAGCAGGATTGTCTATTTTTTCAATACCCAGAATGCTGATTTGAAGCCAATCCCTTTCTTCCCAATATATCCAGCTGTAGATCCCATTTTTGTAGAATTTCCAATGTCACTGAGCGCTCTGTTGTTCTCAGCAGAAATTGCTCATTATTCAGGACAATAATACCTCCCTCCTGAAGAATGAATGACAGAGTTGGTACCACATTTCTAGGGTACACATTATCATCGGCATTCTGAACCTAAAGCAACATTACAACACGACTAATGTTACTACAACATCGAAACCATCAAGAAATGGAGGGGGACGATGGAAACCGGGCTGGGAATATGGCGGCGGGCGGCTGATAGATTAGAGAGAGTAGGTTAGGGGCCTTAGGGCCTTACTAGGAGTGTGTAATATATATATATATATATATATATATATATATAGGGGACAGGACGGGACGGGACGGGGCGGGGCGAGGGTAATGGTAAGTCCATCCCCGTCTTCATTTTTGCACGGATTTATATGGGTATCCTCATATACGTGCACAGTCAAATACGTATAGTCAATGATCGTGATACCAGGTTCACTAGCAGATTTTGGACTGTGTTGTTCAATCTCATGGGTTCTAAGTTAAAGTTCTCTACACCAAGTCATTTCCAGACTGAGCAAATTAATGCTTTGTTGGAGGACTATTTATGGCATTATGTCACTGCAAGTCAGGAATAAGTCCCAGTGAGTTGGCTATGGGACATCAGCTACTTACTCCCCATGAAGTGGTAAAATAAAGGATCGAAGAAAAATGTCCTACTGCATATTAGTTTGCCCGTCCAAGCAGGAGCTGCTTGATGAGGCAAAGGACAGCTTGGCCANGAAAAATGTCCTACTGCATATTAGTTTGCCCGTCCAAGCAGGAGCTGCTTGATGAGGCAAAGGACAGCTTGGCCAAAGCTACCCGACGAATGAAGAAGTATGTTGATCAAGTCCGCAGACCATTGGAATTTCAAGTGGGTGATCTAGTTTTGATGAAATTGACTCCTGCGTTGTGGAAAAGGATCAACATCAAGATAGTACAATGTGGGCTTGTTCCCAAATACGATGGCCCCTTCTAGGTGATGAAGAAGGTCGAGAATGATGCCTGTCGCTCGAAGCTGCCTGATCGACTGATAATTCACCAAACTTTTCATGTGAATTTTTTGAATCCTTTTTAGGAAGACTTACTGAATGGTAGAAGGAAACAAGCTAGGAGGGCTTCCCCTATCATCAGTAAACAGCTTGGCAGAGAGGTCGATAAGATTCTGTCTCACTAGATCATGGGTTAGAGTAAGAAGAATCGTAGGACTAATTTTCTGGTGCATTGGAAATGGGGTTCCGAGGTAGACGCAAGTTGGAAAAGAGATGTGACTCTTTGACAGTTCGAGAAGCAGATCAAGGAGTATTCGGACAACCTCTCGACAAGGACGTCGAGCTCTTCTAGTGGGGGTGGTTTGTTACACCCTTAGCTCGTTGGCGGCATTGGCATAAGGCAGTCTCACCCCAAGGCGCTCATGCCTTAGTCAAAGTGGCAGAAGTCCCATGCATGGCTGAAGGAGGCAGTCTATGCACATGGGCACAAGTCAACATGAAGCACAGAAGAGGGTGTCTTGAATTGTGGGGCAATGCTAGCTTGAAGGATTGAGCCATGGGCTAATCATGATTAGGCACAAATGCAATACAATTCGGATGTTGAGAGCTCCTGACACATGCATAACATGTGAAAAAGTTGGGCATGTGCCCTTTAACAGATGATGGCAGTTCTGTGCAGTTTTTCTGGCAAGTGCACAACATGTGAGATCTATGTCAAATTCAAACAAGCATATAGAGAAGTTGCAGACACCAGTTACAACTTCCTCTACCATCCAATCACAACAGACTTCTGGGAGGACTTGAATTGTAGGCAGTTGCCTAGGTGGTTTGGACTTGTAACCGCTACCCTGAACATTAAAAAAAGGATGCTTGGGTCTGTAGTGCACCAATAGAGTTGGGCATGTTTTTGTAAATAAACCCAATGCTGAGTTTCTTATACATTATTGAGAAAGAAAATTTTGGCCTGTTGGTCTGTAAATCTGGTTTGCTCTATTTGTGTGTTTGTTTACTGTCTCTTATCTGTTCTTATGTACATTCTATGTACATTCTAAGTGTTTGACTGAGATTAAGCGTAGGATCTTAGTGTCATCACGAGGCAGAAATTTGGTGCAAAATTTAACCCCGTAACAACTACCATATGTCAATTGAGATATCCATTAATCCGGTGGGCTCTGGGCCATCTAACCAGACCATGGGTAATATAATGTTTTTTTATGGCAATTCATGCCACATAATTTTAAGAAAATATTATTTAAATTTAATTTAATAATCGAATCCAAAACACTAATATTAACATGCATGTAGTACGCACATATAGGTAGCAACATATGAGAGAGAGAGAGAGAGAGAGAGAGCGAGAGAGAGAGAGAGAGGGGGGGGGGATTACCATTTCCTTTTCTCGATTCATGAGAGAAGTTAAGAAGCTATAGCTCTCCTCTACATTTATTCGGTGATGGCCGTAACATAACAGCGTTAATCTCAATTCCATCTTTCTCAATGAACATTATAACCGTCACTTGACTGGCAGGATGTTCAGCCATCCTCCACCTAACTCCAAACCCTCCCTGTCGTCGGGCCCAGCGAAAAAAATAAACAGACCCTCTGTGCTACGATGGCAGTGGGCCTTGGAGTTTGTTGGAACCCACCACCAAATCCACGGTCCACAAGCAATGCCACCGAGCAAGGTGCATCCTTTAGCACCCTCTGATTAACTTCTCTCCAGCTATGGCCCAGATTGGCCACTTCATCATCACCGTTAGTTTTTTTCCACTGCCTGTGAAACGGCAACATTATCATAGCAACGAGAAGATATTCATTACAGCAGTAATATCACGTGGTAAGGTGATATGATATTATTGATCAATAATAATAAAATAAATAAATTGATTGATCCCACAAAAATCAATAACTAACCTGTAAGGAAATAACGCCCCACTCTTCTGCCATGTAAACTCAAATAGAGTTCACTTTTTTCAATTAGAGTTTTATTATTGGTTATTGATACCATATCATCAATAATGACATGACATCACCGTTGTATTCAATATTTACTCCATTGCAACGCTCTTATCAGGAGATGTCGTGGCGAGCTGGTTTGTAGATAGCCAGCACTGTTGGAGTTGTCTTGAAGGTGGTGAAGAGTGCCATGAGGACTAATATTACAAACACTTCGTCATTAAGGACCTGTCAATCAATTGAAACTCTCATCAATCAATTTTTAAGGTTTTTAATATCAGTAAAAAAATATGAAAATGAAACTAAATTTTCAGGTGTTTTACACCACACGCGCGCGGACAGACACACACTCATATAAATAGATATAGATATAAATGAAATTAAAATTTCAGCGTTTTTTTTTTTGTGAAATTAACATTACACACACTTCATATTGGTAAAGGCAAGATCTGTAGAAGCTTTTTTTTCGTAGAGAGAGTTGGGGTCCACTTCGCTGGTGAAGGTATTTTTTGCCCTCGTCTCTATTTTTTGATTCGATTTTGATTTTTTTTTTTTGATTTTACAAAAGTCATAGATTTTTCGATCAATAAAAATAATCAAAAAATAAGTAATACTCTTGTATTTTCACTCATCCGACCATGTGTTTTAGGCCAGATCAAAAAGACAAATTATAAAATTCATATGAGTTTGAGATTCCTAAAGTGATGCTAATTAGTACAATCATTATTTAAAGTGATTTGAGATAAATGGGAAAAAGAAAGAATAAAGCAAGAAAAGTAAGAAAAAGATGAGCAGTAGGCATATTCTGTGCCCCCACAAGAGAGGACAAGAAAGATAATTCAACTTTTATCAGGAGTGAACAAAACGTGAGGGACTCAAATCTGTTCTTCACCCACCCACCCACCCACCGACTCACCTATTTCTCTAAGAAGATGAACGAACATAGTCAATGTCATGCTTTATAGTATAATCTAGATTTCTTGGTCCTTGGTCTGTGGAGAGGCCTATTATTTTTACTAGACTGTAATTGATCGTGACAAAAATAAATAGTAAAATGATAAAATAAATAGACTTTTCAAGATAATAAAACTTGTACTGAAAATTTATTTTTCGATAGCAGATTTAGTAATGGACTTTGTTCTTCTACTATAGAGAGATGCCCCAGACCCCATGGCCTTTATTATTGACATGTACCTTTTGATTTATTCACATTGAAAGATTTGAGATTGAAGTTACAATTGATGAAATGAATTTGGTTAACTTTGTTTTATTTTATATCTATTCAAGACTTAGGAGTGGCCCAGCTGAAATCTACTCAGTTTTACATCAAACATCAAGAGTGACTTACAACACTGTTATTTAAGGGCAAAAAGCTATAAAATTAGACTTCACTAGAAAAGGGTTGTCACAGTAGGTCTCTTTTTGAAAAGGTGAACATTCATGTCGATCTTTGTTAGAATATCTACACATTAGTCGTACGTAAGACGATTATTAAAGAGGTGACAATTACTAAAGATGTTTCAAAAAGTGCTACAGATAAAAGTGTCATGTCCTAAGCTTTCTTGCATAGTGAAATGTCAAGAATATTATTTTTGACATATCCTTAAAGGTATGTTATTTAAGGAGAAAAAGTTATAAAATTAGACTTAGTGTGGTTACAAATGTGAATATTGATGTCGGTCTTTGTTAGAGTCGTACATAAGATGATTACTAAAGAGGTGGTATATTGAACGTAAAAAAAAAAAAGAAATTGAATAAAAATGTATTGTAGGACACGTGGATGATAACATTGCACCAAATTGTGCCCTCAATTATAAATGTGATTGAAATATTACTACCTCAACGTCGTTTAATAAGACGGAATTCTCAATAAATTACTTTTCTTTTGTAAAATTTTTTTAAAAAAAATGAAATTTCCTAAAGTCAACATGGAAAAAACGTGTAAACTATTGGTAACAAGGTAGAAATATTGCTATTAAAATGGGGATAAATCTTACACATAAAAACGAGAAAAAAAAACAAATAAAGAAATTGAGGCCGACAATGAATTAACATTTCATGCGTGGATTGAAATATACTCAAATCTATAATATAAAACAAAGCAGGTTTCAATAAGTCCATTTGACGGTCTCAAATAAATTAATCAAACGGTCATCAACATCTCTCTCAAAACTATTCACATTATCCCGCATCTTTAAGTACGAGTTATTCTCAGTAATCAATAACTTGCATCGTATCTATATAATAAAGTACAATACAATTCAAATCTCAAAAGATAAACAAAATGATTTTTGTTATTCAATATTGAGATCATTTTAAATTTTACTTTAAAGTTAATCTAATGACTAATATTAACACCTTAAATTTAATATAAAAAATAGACTCCTAAAAGTGTATTTAGAATAATTTTTTTAAAAATTACTTATAGGAATTATTTCTCATAAGTACTTTTAAAAAAATAGTATTTGAAACCGCCCTACTACTACCTCTAACACTACCATCCCAATTGCTCCACCACTGCCACCACCACCGTCACCGCCACCACCGTCGCCACCACCGCCACAGCACCACCACCTTCGTAGTCTCCGCCTCCTTCGCCGCCACCACGGTCNTTAATGTTTTTTTATGGCAATTCATGCCACATAATTTTAAGAAAATATTATTTAAATTTAATTTAATAATCGAATCCAAAACACTAATATTAACATGCATGTAGTACGCACATATAGGTAGCAACATATGAGAGAGAGAGAGAGAGAGAGAGAGCGAGAGAGAGAGAGAGAGGGGGGGGGGATTACCATTTCCTTTTCTCGATTCATGAGAGAAGTTAAGAAGCTATAGCTCTCCTCTACATTTATTCGGTGATGGCCGTAACATAACAGCGTTAATCTCAATTCCATCTTTCTCAATGAACATTATAACCGTCACTTGACTGGCAGGATGTTCAGCCATCCTCCACCTAACTCCAAACCCTCCCTGTCGTCGGGCCCAGCGAAAAAAATAAACAGACCCTCTGTGCTACGATGGCAGTGGGCCTTGGAGTTTGTTGGAACCCACCACCAAATCCACGGTCCACAAGCAATGCCACCGAGCAAGGTGCATCCTTTAGCACCCTCTGATTAACTTCTCTCCAGCTATGGCCCAGATTGGCNTGGAACCCACCACCAAATCCACGGTCCACAAGCAATGCCACCGAACAAGGTGCATCCTTTAGCACCCTCTGATTAACTTCTCTCCAGCTATGGCCCAGATTGGCCACTTCATCATCACCGTTAGTTTTTTTCCACTGCCTGTGAAACGGCAACATTATCATAGCAACAAGAAGATATTCATTACAGCAGTAATATCACGTGGTAAGGTGATATGATATTATTGATCAATAATAATAAAATANACCGTTAGTTTTTTTCCACTGCCTGTGAAACGGCAACATTATCATAGCAACGAGAAGATATTCATTACAGCAGTAATATCACGTGGTAAGGTGATATGATATTATTGATCAATAATAATAAAATAAATAAATTGATTGATCCCACAAAAATCAATAACTAACCTGTAAGGAAATAACGCCCCACTCTTCTGCCATGTAAACTCAAATAGAGTTCACTTTTTTCAATTAGAGTTTTATTATTGGTTATTGATACCATATCATCAATAATGACATGACATCACCGTTGTATTCAATATTTACTCCATTGCAACGCTCTTATCAGGAGATGTCGTGGCGAGCTGGTTTGTAGATAGCCAGCACTGTTGGAGTTGTCTTGAAGGTGGTGAAGAGTGCCATGAGGACTAATATTACAAACACTTCGTCATTAAGGACCTGTCAATCAATTGAAACTCTCATCAATCAATTTTTAAGGTTTTTAATATCAGTAAAAAAATATGAAAATGAAACTAAATTTTCAGGTGTTTTACACCACACGCGCGCGGACAGACACACACTCATATAAATAGATATAGATATAAATGAAATTAAAATTTCAGCGTTTTTTTTTTGTGAAATTAACATTACACACACTTCATATTGGTAAAGGCAAGATCTGTAGAAGCTTTTTTTTCGTAGAGAGAGTTGGGGTCCACTTCGCTGGTGAAGGTATTTTTTGCCCTCGTCTCTATTTTTTGATTCGATTTTGTTTTTTTTTTTTGATTTTACAAAAGTCATAGATTTTTCGATCAATAAAAATAATCAAAAAATAAGTAATACTCTTGTATTTTCACTCATCCGACCATGTGTTTTAGGCCAGATCAAAAAGACAAATTATAAAATTCATATGAGTTTGAGATTCCTAAAGTGATGCTAATTAGTACAATCATTATTTAAAGTGATTTGAGATAAATGGGAAAAAGAAAGAATAAAGCAAGAAAAGTAAGAAAAAGATGAGCAGTAGGCATATTCTGTGCCCCCACAAGAGAGGACAAGAAAGATAATTCAACTTTTATCAGGAGTGAACAAAACGTGAGGGACCCAAGTCTGTTATTCACCCACCCACTCACCTATTTTTCTAAGATGAAATTACAGTCAATTTCATGCTTTATAGTAGAATCTAGATTTCTTGGTCCTTGGTCTGTGGAGAGGCCTATTATTTTTACTAGACTGTAATTGATCGTGACAAAAATAAATAGTAAAATGATAAAATAAATAGACTTTTCAAGATAATAAAACTTGTACTGAAAATTTATTTTTCGATAGCAGATTTAGTAATGGACTTTGTTCTTCTACTATAGAGAGATGCCCCAGACCCCATGGCCTTTATTATTGACATGTACCTTTTGATTTATTCACATTGAAAGATTTGAGATTGAAGTTACAATTGATGAAATGAATTTGGTTAACTTTGTTTTATTTTATATCTATTCAAGACTTAGGAGTGGCCCAGCTGAAATCTACTCAGTTTTACATCAAACATCAAGAGTGACTTACAACACTGTTATTTAAGGGCAAAAAGCTATAAAATTAGACTTCACTAGAAAAGGGTTGTCACAGTAGGTCTCTTTTTGAAAAGGTGAACATTCATGTCGATCTTTGTTAGAATATCTACACATTAGTCGTACGTAAGACGATTATTAAAGAGGTGACAGTTACTAAAGATGTTTCAAAAAGTGCTACAGATAAAAGTGTCATGTCCTAAGCTTTCTTGCATAGTGAAATGTCAAGAATATTATTTTTGACATATCCTTAAAGGTATGTTATTTAAGGAGAAAAAGTTATAAAATTAGACTTAGTGTGGTTACAAATGTGAATATTGATGTTGGTCTTTGTTAGAGTCGTACATAAGATGATTACTAAAGAGGTGGTATATTGAACGTAAAAAAAAAAAAGNAATCGAATCTATGCAGTGGAAGTTACCAAAAATCAAAACAAAATGCAGAAATGCATACAACATACCTTCTTCTCTTTTCCAATGTTGAGAACAACGAGCTCTACCAATCCTTTAGTTTTCATCAGCACACCAAGCGTCAAGGACTCTCTTACCGGTATCCTACACAAAGTCGCCACCACAAACGTCCCGATAATTTTTCTGCTGCATGCCGCTCACCAAAATTAATCCCTCTAAAATTAGAGAAAAAATGGATGAAAAATTAATTATTTGTATTGAAATATATCTTATTTGTCTATATATCTTTTTATATATGCATATATATTATGTATACATTAATTTTATATATAAATATAATAACAAAATATGTATTTATAATTTTTTCTAAAAATATTTTTAAAAAAATTTTCATCTTATCAAGCACAAAAAAAAATTAATCATTTTTATTTTTCATCAATTCTAACAAACACAAAACAAAGAAAATATATCATTTTTACTTTACTTACTTGGAAGATAGAAAGTGTATCTCTCTTATTTTCCATCCTTTCTATCAAACAGAACATTTTAGAAAGAAAGTTAATCTATTCACTTTTCTATATTTTCTATTTTTGTTCCTTACTAAGCATGATGTTTTATCTATCCTTCTAACTTTTCATTTTTTCAATTTTTCAATTTTTCAATTTTTTATTTTTTCATCATACTAAACAAAGTATAATGCTTTCAAATCTTTCCTACTGTTAGGAATAAGTGGTATTTTCAATAAATATCACAATATTTATTGCTACTTCTCTAGTCTTACATTAAATTGTAACCTCAAACAAAAATGAACTACGGGAGCTTATTGGGCGATGACAATGTTTAGCCACCACTGTTGTTTAGCATCCTTATATAATTAAACAAAAATGTTAAAGGAATCGAGTCGTGTTAAAATTTAGTAAATTATATTCAATTCATTAATTAAGTCATTGTGTTTATTTTTTTAGATTTGAATTATAAGTTACTTTATTATATAGATATTCAATTCACTTATCATTTTCATTCACTTTATTATATAGATGTAGACTAGGTATTGTCTGTGTCTGAAATCACAGAATAATAAAAAATGGTAAACAATAAATATATTTGTATTTATATCTAAAATTAAATCAAAAATATAGAGAAAAGATAAATGAATTTAAGTATCGATTTTTATTAGGTGTGAGAGGTGGTGGGCGACAGTGATGATAGTAAGAGACAGTGATAGTTGTGGTGGGTGACAATGATCGTGGCGGCGGCGATGGTGGTGGTAGTGACGATGGCGACGACGGTAATGTCGGTGACGGTGGTGATAACAGTGGTGGTGGTAGTGACGACGACGGTGGTGGTAGTGGCAGCGATGGTAATGGTGGTGACGGTGGTGGTAATAGGAGACGCTAATAGTTGTTGTGGGTAGCAATGATAGTGGTGGTGGCGATGATGGTGGTGGTGACGATGGTGGTGGTGGTAGTGGTAGTGGCGGTGGCAGTAGTGGTGATGGCGGCGGTGGTGGCAACAATGGCGATAGTGGTGGCGGTGGTTATGATGGTACTGGGGGGGGGGGCGGCGGCGGCGGTAGTGGCGGCAATGGTGGTGGGGCGGTTTCAAACACTATTTTTAAAAAAAATATTTATGATAAATAATTTCTTGAAATACTTTTAAAAAGTCATTCTAAACACACATTTAGTGATCTATTTTTGCTATTAAATTTAGGGTGTTAATATTAGCCGTTAGATTAATTTTAAAATAAAATTTAAAACGATCTCAACCGCGAATAACAAAAGTCATTTTGTTTATCTTTTAAGATTTGAATTGTAAGCTATTTTATTTTATACATATTCAATTCACTTATCATGTTTATTCAAGTTCATGTTATGTCGTACGTATAATTTATATATCTTATTTATTTGGATTCGTATCGATTCTTTATTAAACAGATTAGGAAGGTTAAATCACTAAACATATATCTATCAATTACGTATCGATTGTATGGAATGTGGTAAGAATGTCAATTCTATCTAAAGTACTCAGCATTAAGCTTTTTCTTCATGAAGCAACCAAAAACTATAGGGACATGTAATGCATGAAAAATCATATCACAAAATTATTACCTCAAAAAACATCAAGGCGCTTTACAAAATAAAGTGACATCCACTCTCATTTCGTTGTCGTCTGGTGCTTCCAGTAAGTGCTTCAATCGACATGGATAAATCACTGTCAAATTAACTGTATACAGTGCCTAACTATTTGAAGACAAATGATTCCAATTGGTTCTTTAATTGTCTTCCTGAAAGATTCTGTTGGAGAAATACACCTTCTAGCACAACCGAGCAGAGGGAACCCCGAGCGAGAAGGTATATACGCTAGGAGGAGTAGTCGTTCTGGGGTGGGTTCTTCAACTGGATCAATGCATATATAAATCTTAAAAAATTCCAAAAGTTGATTGAAAATGTGACTTTCAAGTTTCAGAGAAATCATAAAGGTGTGTTTGGGATTGATTATTTTTTTTTTGCGAAAACAATCTTGTAATTTTTATAGTCGAGAGGCAGATTTATCAACCTTTGGAATGAAAAACAAAATACAATACTGTGATGGTATTGGTAAGTAGAGCAATAAATAAACGAGGAAATCGGAAGAAAGTCGTATTATTGTTGTATAAATAAAATATTAGGGTTTAAAATAATCTAAGTCACATTTATATTAAAGTTTTTGTGATCAACAATCAACTTTTTGGAGATTTGTGGTAATGATTTCACGTATGTTAAATATAATATATTTCATTCCGATGATTGGATTGAAAATCATTTTAGTTTTGAATCTTATAATCAGGTTTCATAACTGTTTTATGTAATTTGTCGTACCAAATGAAATAAATGTAACATTTTCAGGCACAATTACGTGTCCATTGGATGAGACCCACGTCTATGTTTATTTGCATTATTGTAAAGATTATTCCTCTTTTGTCTCTCCCCATCAACTCTACCGTGATGACACAGAATGCAAATAAAGTAATCCTTCTTTTCTTTTCATGATTTAAATATTATTCTTGATGCACTAAGAGTTACAGTAATGTTATTGAGCAATGCTATTGGAACTTAATTTATTAATCTAATTCACTATGATATTTGGATTGACTGTAAATTCCATCAAATATTGAAACTTGGTGTTGATTCAATAATTCTTATAAAACTACATCATTATATCAACAAATTATGTCAGATTTTTAGGTCAAAATAACACTATTCAATGTTATTATGTCCTAATGACATTATTCTAAGAGTTATATCCTCGAAGCAACTTAATCAACAATAGGGTAGAAGTTTTGGGTGTGGGGGTGAGGGAGGGGGGGGGGACAATGGC